GAGCATCTACACATATGAGAAATGATGATTTTTTGGTTCCCAATTGTTTAAAAAGAATGGGTGCGACTTCTATTAGGGATGCGGCTTCTAATACAGATTTTACGGTACTGTACAATAATAATGTCTTTATTGCATCTTTAGAAATACAATTTTTCTATTAATTAATAGCAATATAAATATATATATATAAATAAATAGAATAGTTCAAATAATAGGTATTGATAGGTCAGTATTATAAATCAAGATTATGGTCATTTCTTAAAATAAAAGAATTGTGAATAAAATCAACCAATAGCTTAACTATATTTTTGTCGCTACTTTTCATGAGTTAGTATCAAAAAATAATTCATCTCTTAAAAACACACTATCAAGGCCAGATTCACATTAATGAAGTTATTATTAGAAAATGCTGACAAGTGCCAGTGTGTATGGAGGCATTAAAAACCGTGTTGACCAATGCAAAGCAGAATTTGATACATTATTTGCAGTATTTTCTTGATAAACTAATTTATGGTCAATGCAAAGCCACTTACAAGATTGTAAGACTGTACCAGATTGGCTACCCAACCCTAACATCTAACAGTCGGACCAATCAGAGATTACAATATTGCTGTATTCTGTGTAAACAAAAAAAAATGCCTGAATGTGAGATGCATGTTTGAGAGATCGATGATGTTTCTGTTGCATAGTACGACATTGCTGCGTCTGGTTTGAATATGAAACATGACAAATCTTTACCAAATAAAAAAGACATTCATAACACGTTTTAAACAGATGTTTTTTTACTATCAGGTGCATATTTATGTTATATTTTAACAAAATTTTACGCTGTATAACAACAATAATTGAGTGTATTGGAGAAACTGATAACCGCTTGGCTGATTTTTATATTAAAATATTCTAATGTAATAATACACATGTTGCGCATCATCCGCCATCTTTGCTATAACCGCAATTGTGTTTGTAATCTTCATGTGATTACTAATCGCATGATATATTCAGATTAGGGGTTATCATATTCTAATTACCTTTTTTTTTCATTTTTTGTTGCAGATGTGGCTAATCTGGACCTTAAATCAACGTTACGAGTTCTCTATAATTTATTCACAAAATATAAACATTTGTGATCGCAATGAGTCGACATGATTTCGCTCCTATTATTGTATTGTTGCCGCTACAATTTTCATGATTTAACAATATTTGTGTAAGTCTTCTTAGAACTTAGTCAAAGTTACTGTGACTTTCTAAGACCTAGTGAAAGTCACTGTGAATTCCTACGACCCAGTGAAATTCACTGTCACTCACCAGAACCCGGTGGAACTCACTTTGACTTCCTTGAACCCAGTGACAGTTGCTTTGACTTCCTTGAACCCAGTGAAAGTTGCTTTGACTTCCTAGAACCCAGTGAAAGTCACTGTGACTCCCTAAGACCTAGTGAAAGTCACTGTGACTCCCTAAGACCTAGTGAAAGTCACTGTGACTCCCTAAGACCTAGTGAACGTCACTGTGAATTCCCACAATCCAGTGAAAGTCGCTGTGACTTTCTAGGACTCCTATAAATGTCACTGTGCCTCCCTAGTACCAGTGAAGTCCCAGTCAAAGTCGCTGTGTATTCCTAAGAGCCAGTAAAAGTCACTGTGGCTCCCTAGAACTCTAGTAAAAGTCACTGTGGCTCCCTAGAACTCTAGTGAAAGTCACTGTGTCTCCCTAGGACTTTAGTGAATGTCACTGTGTCTCCCTAGGACTCTAGTGAAAGTCACTGTGTCTCCCTAGGACTCTAGTGAATGTCACTGTGTCTCCCTAGGACTCTAGTGAAAGTCACTGTGTCTCCCTAGGACTCTAGTGAATGTCACTGTGTTTCCCTAGGGAAGGTCATTGTGATTCCTTAGCACCCAGTGAAGAGTTCACAGTACACAGTGAATTTTTTTTTTCTATTACAGTATTATTTCTAATAAAAACAAAAATAAGTATAATTCAAAAGCCAATTTTTTTATTGTATTTAAATCATAGTTGAATGTCATTTTGTATCTTTTTGGTTTTAGTTAATTATTGACATTAATATAAATTGGGTAATCTAGGATTCATCTACAGCTTCATTCTTTGAATTCCAAACTCACAACCAGTCTCACCATTTCACAAAATTAAATTAACATATTTGTTTTCATTTTTTTTTTTAATCAAGACCTGCAGCTAATATGAAATTATATTCATTTTGTCCAAAATTAAAGAAAAATACGTAAAAATAGACAAAATATTGCACTAAAATTCAACACATTGAATAAAAAAAGCTGCATCACCCTTTTTATTGGTATTTCTTAAATGTAAAGTACGCCCTCTATGGTTATAACATTTTAGCAGTGAAAATGTGTCATTGTATGAATATTGAATGTTTTTTTTTAGTATAGGGTAACAAATTGTCACAAGAAAAAAAAAGGGGGTCATAATGCTTGATTTCTGTAGAAATTTAACCACACCACTTTACCACTATGGGGCGGCCATTTTGAAAGGAAATGAAATACTGTAGAATACTTTATTTTCGCTTGGAATTTATTTTCGCTGAAGGGATGATTCCGTGAAAATAAAATCCAGCAAATATAATTTTTTTTTTCCCTATATTTCACATTAAACTCATCAAAAATCAGTGAAAATAAATTCCATGCCAAACGCCCAAAAAGCCTTTTCAGCGAAAATAAAGTATTTCACAGTATCACATGCATTCTTCTATTTGGGGTCTGTGCCCTGTTTTGATTTATATCAGATCACAAAGTTAGAATCACAAAGACTGGTGTAACATCCATGTACAGGGCAATAACCTGCCTGTTGAATCATTTTAGTTATTAAAAGTGCACTGACCTCACTTCAGTGTCTTGTGCAGAGCTGGTTTTATAAACAAGTCATTGAACTTACATGTCACAATTATTGAGTGTTTTCTTGTATACAGTTCAATTTTTAAAGGTCAACAATTTTTGAATTATTTTAATGTTTGTTTGTTGATGTTGAGGAGCTATCTTGAGAAATCTTTAAATGAATCTAAATACAAAATTATAATATGGTTGCTTGCAATTTTTTTTTTTTTAAGATAACCCCAATTATGTCTCAGTTGTGATTCTGGAAAAAACTATTTACATGATAATTGTGAATTCTACTTAATTCTGGTCTCTTTTTTTTTTTCTCTGCAAAAACAAGATCTTAATAAGCCACACAGGTTTGTGAATGTGTTTTTTTTTTCAGTCTTATTGGTTTTGAGTTAAGTCAGATCTCACTACTTCATCACATTATACCACGGCCACAAGAAAAGGAAGTCCAGGCAAACAACATAATGCTCTCAGATGAAAAATTCACAAATGTTGGATTCAAATTTTTGCACTGGTGTTTATGGTGGTATCGTTTCTTTGTATTTTTAAATTTTGCTGGATGACATGGATGAAAGTCGTATATTATTATTGATATGATTCCTAATATTGTCATTTCAAAACATTTCAAAAATCATGCAATTTAGTGATTTCCCAGGGTGATAAGTTTTTCATGATATACAAGGGGACATTCTCTCCCATAATGCATTTCATGTATGTGCAGTAACATGCTCAGTAGAGCAAAATTTGAATTTCTATCCCATAATGCATTGCATATATGTGCAGTTGCATGCTCAGAAGAGCAAAATTTGAATTTATATCCCATAATGCATTGCATATATGTGCAGTTGCATGCTCAGTAGAACAAAATTTGAATTTCTATCCCATAATGCATTTCATATATGTGCAGTAGCATGCTCAGTAGAGCAAAATTTGAATTTCTATCCCATAATGCATTGCATATATGTGCAGTTGCATGCTCAGAAGAGCAAAATTTGAATTTATATCCCATAATGCATTGCATATATGTGCAGTTGCATGCTCAGTAGAGCAAAATTTGAATTTCTATCCCATAATGCATTTCATATATGTGCAGTAACATGCTCAGTAGAGCAAAATAAAGCCCAAACTGCCTTAAATATGTACATTTTCTTTCACTGAAAAGATTGCCAGAAAATAAAGTTGATGTAATTCATATAATGTATCATGTAAACAATTTTATCATTCTGACTTGTACTTTAATGGTGCCATTTTTAAAAAAATTTAAAGACTGTATAATCAAAAATATTTTTTTTATAAAGTAGAAATTTGAGATATTTTCATACTATTTGTTCTTTTGTTTTTTGTTTGGTAGATAATGTCAAAAGGTCAAAAGAATGTTAGGTTACTGTGATCTTCACAATTTATGTTCTGTGGAGACCTTTTAACCTTTTCACCACCAGACATCCTTGCCCACATTTTTCTGCACTTTTTTCTTATATTCTTCAATATTTCTGGAAATGAACCTTAATTTTGGAGCCAAGAGACATCTTTTGAGTAAATTTTCAGTTTTTACTCAAAAAATGTGGCCAGTTTTGTTCCAATCTTCTGAATTTGTGATGAGAAAAGGGAACTGGTGGTGAAAACTAAACTGAGTTTTGAATAGAATGGGATTTCACCAAAAATATTTAGTTTATTTTTTTATTTTTTTTTATATATTGTATTTTTTTGTAACATTTTATTATTGTCAATGAATGGAAACTATTTCTATGGATGCAATACATTTATTAGTATATTAGGCAAAATTATTTGTGTCAGGTCACTGTCCAGTTTAAAAGCAAATGTATGGGTCCTATCACAATATTGTAAAAATAAAACAAATATAAGGCACATCATTTGGAGACCAGAAACATTTTCATTTTTAGCCTTATCATAGAGTGGTTTGTCATAGTACAGCAAAATGTACACCAAGGTATAGTTAAGTATGTGCCTTATGTAAACGATTTAACCTTTTCACCACCAGAATTTCTTGCCCAAATTTGTCTACTTTTTTTTATATTATATTTTCACTCAAACAGTTTGGCAATTTTTGTCCCAGTTCTGAAGGAAGGTGCAGACTATAGACAGGACTAATTTGTGAATTTGTAATGAAAAGAGGAAACTGGTGGCAAAAATGTTAACATTTTTGTATGTGATGCAAATTTTCTGTAACAGACCTTAGAATGCAAATGGCTGTTTTTTTGTTATTTTTATTGTTTTTTTTGTTTTTTTTTGAGAGAGAGAACCAAGTTTTTGACTCTCCTTTATGTATTCCAATCTTTTCCATCCTATCCACTGTTCCTACGGTAATACCATGGAGATGTAGATCTTGGGAACAGCCGATGTAATGACTGAGAGAATTGAAAAGGAGACGTAAGAACAAGTTTTGTGGCTCACTCATTTTCAACAAAATATCTCCTGCCATTTAATATACCTCCAAGGTCTGTTCAACACTCTCAAACACGTACTTGTAGTTTTTTTCTGCTGGATGTATTATACCTGTAACTTTCTTTGCGATCACATCAGTGGGATTTCTTGTTACGAAGAAAACAGAATTAAAAATTGAGGTCTAAGTAAAATGAACCTATAATTTTGTCAATATGAAAAAAAAATTGGTTAGTTACTATGGTAATGATATAAAAACCTTGTGGTTTTGTTTTGTATCAAGGGATGATATGCAAGTCGTCTTTGCCACTGGATTCTGTTAACTGTGATTTGATTTCATCTGTGATAGTTTCTCAATCTGAACTGTGAGGGCACTGTTTCAATGAATTACTGTATTATTAAGCCTCTTGGAATGTCGCGCACATAATATTTTTAATACTAACTGACTAAAGTGTATACACAGTGTTGCATTTATGTTACCATACTCCCTGTATTTAAATAGTATCCAAATGTTTATTTTTATAGTCTTACTCATTTTTTTTATTAATGTACGAGTACAGTGCCATGACAACGCTGTTGACTTTCGGAGCAATGTAACTTATTAAATATTATAGTATCTAGGAGACAATCTGGCTTCCTAAATATGTAATCATTTTCAATATTTTAAAAACTATATTGAATAAAAATATGGCTGGAACAGTCTTTAATATGCCTCTGTAAATGTTTGTTGTCAGTGGGGAATTGCCACAGGTTGGAACAACGTGACATACGCTCATATTTCTCGGTCCTGATTTCTGAATTAGAGATTGAGTGTAATTGATACAGAGAACGTCAGCTATAAATATTTTGACAATTTACCATAAATCCAGACCTACTTCTACCCGTAGTTCATCATGAAGACTGCGTCATATCTAAAT